CTCGCATCAGTGTCTGAATCTGCTGTTTTTTTAATTATCGGACATTTTTGTGCTGAGTTCATGAGATGTGCTGAGAATGAAACAGAAGTTAGCAGTGGCCGATCGATGTGGCGGGATATGAAGATATAACGTTATTATCCGGACATCCCTGAATTAACAGAATGGCGTCCAATGTGCATTTCAATTCCCGAGGCATTCTCCCCTCAGACCTCGTCGAGATGCTTCGAGGATCTCCAGATTGGCCTGACGTTTCACATCCTCAAAGTGATGCCTCGTAGACCACGGATTCACCCTTATAGGCCTAATTGTCGAGAAATTAGTTTCTGAATTGTAAGTGGAGAAATGAGGTTTTTTTTTATAAAGAAAATAGGTAGGACTTGGCGTGACCTGGAGGCACTCTGTCGGTAAGGCCTAGACCATGAGTGCACAACTCAAAAGACCCTGAGGGCCACTTGCGACTTTACTCACATTCCGCGGGCCGCAGTCTGGCTGACCATAACTGTACCCAACAGGGCAGGAGCCATAATAACACTTACAACGCCACCAGTCATGGCGGGCCGCAAGCAAGGACCTCGCGGGCCGTATGTTGTGCACCCCTGGCCCAGACCTAACGTTTGTGAGCCCCGTGGAGAAGAGGGGAGGGCTGTTGAAGAAGGGGAAAGCTCTTGAAAATTCGTTTTCACATTACTTCATGATACTTTTTCAGTGGTTTCCATGTCGGTTCGGTATTTGAGACTCAGGACGACTCAAAGCCTCCCCGAGGTAAGTCCATTGGTACTTCCTTCGCAGGAAGCCGAGCCGATAGGAAAATCGCTCCTGGCCGATCCTTGCATCTGGAATATTACGTACTTTTTTGTGCTTTCTTTACTGAGTCGGTACCTTAAATCTAAAAAAATTCGCCCTGTGGCACTGAGATGAGTCCATTTGTACTCGCTTTTTCGAGATCGATGCAGCATAAATCGCGCTTTATAACCGGTCGCGAGTAGAACGAGAAGAGAAAAAATGTGGAAACGCATACTTCGAGCTCTCTCAATGTATCGGATCGATTCGGGAGAGACTTGGCGGATCGAGAGGCCTTGGAAAAAGAAGAGAGTCTACAACTTTTGGAGTACATGCGAGAAGGTCAACTGCGAGATGCGTCATGGGGGAGTTCTATTCGAAAGGGCTAAATTCCACTCGTCTTCTTACTGGCGCAACACCGTGCAACATGTACAGGGTGTCCAAAAAGTCCCGTTACCCCTACTTCTTTCGCTAATGCACTGACCCAGGGTCGGATTAAGAAGTTGCAAGGCCCGGGGCAAGGGGATTATTGGGTCTCTCCCCTCCCGCCCCCCAAAAATGACCTGCTTGTGCAAGTAGCCTAGAGGAGCCACACAGTTGAGCACTGGTGGTGCAAATCTGGATTTGTAACATCTGCTACATCTACGCAAATACTTAACGTTTTTAACTTCAGGGGGCCCAGGGCAATAGCCCCCTTTACCCCACCCCCTTAATCCGGTCCTGCACTGACCAATAACTGAAATGTGTGGCATCGTGATGATTGAAGTTATTTGCGCACAAATGAACAGGCTACACACATTTAGCTATCCAGGGCATCGGTTGAAACCAAGCTTCCTGACGGATACCCAGCCTATCGATCTCCGGAATAAACCAGGTCTGCAGCATATGCAGATAATTTGCGTGGTTTATTCGACCGTCAAAGAAATAAGGCCCGATTAGGGATGAACAGCTAATAGTGTGTAACCTGTTTATTTGTACGCAAATAACTCCTATCACCACAATGCCACGTATTTGTTATTGGTCAGTGCATTGAAGAAAAAAACATAGGGGTAATGGGACTTTGTGGACACCCTGTACATCACGATTAATGAAATGCACGAAAGCAATTCATCAAAAAATTCGCTAATTCCATAAAATGACGACTTCTACGATCGCGGATAGAAGATGATTGAAGCGTATTGTAATGACTCCATTTGGGAATCGCGGTTCAAGGAAGGAATGACAGCGGATATCGAGCACGACAATTGTTTAAATCGTGATCTGGGGCGGGAAGGAAAGTGCGAATGCGATAAATTTAAATGAGCACGATTTGAAGCACGAATGAAGATGTGAAAATGTTGAGTTTTAGGAATCGCGATCCGTACACTCTTAGGAAAGAGTGAGCGATATCCGAGAAAGGGAGTGAAACTGAAGTTAGCGAATTTACTCCCTAATAACGGGGAAGTACAATCGATAACTACTACTTTATATGAGCAGATTCCATAACTTTATTAAGAGCGCGAAACGAAATAGGGAGAGTACTTTTCAAACTATTACGTGGTGACACAAAAGTTCTGTACACTTCAGAAAAAAGATGCTGATTCTGAGCTAACATGTTGGAAAATTTTTGGTTTGGTTTCGATGTAAAGCTTATGGTACGAGGGAATTAGTTTCACCAAAACTTTGCGAACCCCTATTAGTTTCGTCATGTCATTGTCCAATGAAGATCGTCGGTCTGCTGTTATCAGTTTGCATGAAACTAGGAAATTACCCTCTGAGATCTTCCGGCTGCTCCAGAACAACGGCTACAACCGGAACTTCATCAAGCGTACTATCAAGCGGTTCCTTGAGACAAACTCTACTGAGAATCGTCCTCGGTCAGGTCTAACAAAGTCTGTGTCAACCACTGTCAACATCAAAAGAGTTTGATCTCGACTTCGTCGCAATCCGGAGCAATCGCTGAGAAAAATGGCCCAAACGACGAAGATCAAATCGCTCCGGCGAATGATCAAGAACAAGCTGAATCTTCCGTCTTTCAAGTTCCATAATCTTCAATTTCTCATGAAACAAGCGAAGAAGACTATGCTGCAACGATAGCAGTCGCTGCTCCGTTGGTTCGCAGATGGTGGCCATCACAATATCCTCTTTTCTGACGAGAAGCTCTTCACGATAGAACAATACTTTAACTCTAAAAATGACCGAGTATGGGCAACAGAGTCGTCAGGCATCTCTACGGGCCACCGTCGTGTTATTCGCACTCAGAAACCAGCTTCTGTGATGGTGCGGGCCGGTATCACTCCAGAGAGTCGCCCACCATTGGTTTTCGTGCCTTCTGGTATAAAGATCAACACGACTGTCTACCGTGACCTCATCCTGGAGAGTACAGTAAAGCCCTGGGCCAAGCAGCACATTGGGAACTGCAAATGGACTTTTCAACAGGACTCTGCCCCAGCCCACAAGGCAAAGATCACTCAGGCCTTCTGCAACGAAGAATTTCGTGACTTCATCACCTTGGCAAAATGGCTTCCGTATAGTCCCGACCTGAACCCGTTGGACTTTTCTGTGTGGATCATCTTTTAACTCCACATGCATCAGTCGAGTCCCTGGAGCGTGCACTTCAAACGGAATGGCTCAAAATCTCCCAAGAAACGCTGCGTGCCAACGTTTCAACGTGTCAACGTTTTTTCAAAAAGACTTCGCGATTGTGTGGAAGCAAAAGGTGGCCATTTTGAGTCATTTTGTTGATATTATCTGTTGAAATAGTTGTAGTTTCTAATTGTGTTGTCTCCGGTTGTTAGCTGTTTAAGAAAGTTATAAAATATTGGAAAAAGTAAATGTGTACAGAACTTTTGTGTCAGCCTGTAGAAAACGTTAGTGGTTATTCTCAGGAAAGAGAGAGGTGAGCGGCATTACTTCCTTGTTTTTTAAGGAGCAAAATGGCTTACTCCAGTTTCGCTCCCTTTCTCGGATATCGCTCACTCTTTTCTAAAGAATTGTAGCAGAATCGAAGGTAAGGAAGGGGGAAAAAAGTAAGGAGGGGGGGAGGTTCCAAGGAAGACGACGAGTGGAATCGAGGCAGAAGCAGTTTGGGTGTGGAGCTGGTACTTCGGCAGCCATCGCCGACTGCTCGAATGCTCGAGTTGAATTCCCATCGAGGGTACCAACCTGCGATCCTGGCTCTTTCACAGGCGATCATATGATCGCCCGTGAAAGAGCCTGCAAGACATATGTTGGCAGGGATGACTCTCTTGGCACGTCTCCTCGAAGCTGCGCCTCCAACACCCACCGTCAAAATAACCACACGATGTGCATCCACTGTGGAGGCCTATGCCATCCACTCGAGCATCGGAGAATGGAATCGGGGTTCTCGTAAGGCATTAAATGAATAGGAAGAGGGACTAAGAGGATCCCAGATTATTTTTGGCGCTAAGGAGAGGCGGAAACGCATGAAGACGGCATGGAGTCGACAGATAGACGTGACATTAGACAGAGGAATGCGTTCTACAAAGCCCCCCATTTATTTTGTGCAGGAAGAGACATACATTTTGCACATTTCCCTACGGATCCCTGCTTTACAATCTGGGTTCCTTCTCCACCTCATCTTCCTTTTACTCCTCCTCCCGCCCCGAGAATTAGCATTTCTCGCCAATTATGATACTCATCTTCGCGTCTCGCTTTCCTCTTGGCATCTCTTACCTAGATGCCCTTGCCAAATTTTTTCACGCAGAAATGGAACGATGACACTTTTGCGTGTCTAGACGTTCAATTGATTTTTCGCATAAGTATTTTCATGTGAAATTGGGCAAAAGCAAGAAGCTCAAACCGGACATCAAATCATTTCATTGGGAAAAAATATAAAATTATACTCAGACGAGACAGAGACATTACCGTGCAAAGTAAGCGGAATGGAATAAGATCGACGGATTGTAATGAGTAACAAGTAATTTCAAATGTTATGAGTTTGACGCAGAATAGAGAGATGATATTCAATATGACAAGAGATGGGAATGATTAGAGGATGGAGACCGAACTGCCAAATTTGGCTGGAGGAAAATGAAAGCTTTCACGATTGGCGAGAGTGACATGCTCTTACAGAGACCCAGCCGAGGGATGAGATCACTTTTATGCAAATTTTCACTGGGCCGATCCGGGATTTCACTCTTGGAACCTGTCCAAATGTTTCCTCTCCCTATGAGAGAGGACTCCATATAGACCGAGAAGAGTCTTCCAGCCTCTTCTCTGCCCCTCCTTCCTATTCCTCTCTCTTTCTGTTCGGCGACGAAAGGAAAGATGGAATACTGTCGTGGAATCTTTCCTTCAGTCAGGATATGATCAATGTGACCCCGTTGTCGATTTCATTGTGGGCTAGCGAGTATCCCAAGACCGTGTGATTTTCGGTGACTGCAGCAAGCCTAACAAGTGAGTGGAAAACATCCCTACATATCCTGTTCCAAGAAATGAAAAATAAGCAAGAAAGGCAAGAAAGTCTAAAAGACCTCCTTATACATGAAATTTATGCCAGAAATTCATCGAAACTTAAGCAGATGAAATACTTTCAGCATTTTCCGGCACACGCTGTCATACCGTGAAATAAGGTCAAAGACGCCAGATAGGAACAACAATCATATCGGCTAAAAAAAAAGTGACTCGTCATTTGATAGCCTAAAGGACGAAATCACACTACGTAATCCATTAACCATTTAAATATGGATGAAACCTGCCACATAGTTACAGAGGTATGGTTTGCTCGATTAACTTTCCTGAATGGGAGTTGGATTGCATGTTGTTCAAAGCGTTGCCTCACCCGTTACCCCCTTTTAGTTCTGGCAGAACCGCGAGGATTCGGGCGAGATGGTGGAAAGATAAATACGTGGGTGTGGAAAGAAGAAGGGAAAAAAGAGGAAGAAGAAAAGAGAGGCTTTTAAAAGGCATAGAGAATTTTGAAGATTGATGTGCCGGGGTCTATGTTCCTGGTGTTTCCGTGTCTGTGCCGATGGAGGACACTCGGAGTCCAGCAAGGAAGAGAGTAAGAGGAAAAAAGAGAATCGCGAGAGGAAGACGGAGGAGGAGGAAATAAGACAAAAAGAAGATGATGAGGAGAGAAGAAAAAAAGGGGAAGAGGAGGAGAGTATGAAAGAAGAGAAAAGGAGGAAGAAGAAAGAAGAATATAATATAATGAGAGAAGAGAAGGAAAGGGAGGAAGAAAGACGAAGAGAGGCAAAAAGGAGAAAAGCAGAAGAGAAAAGGAAGAAGAAGGAAACGTCCGAGAAGGACAAAGGGGAAGAAGGGAAGAGGGAAAGAGAGGAAGCAGAAGAGAAAGATGAAAAGGTGCAGAGGAAAGGGGGAGAGCAGGAGGAGGAGACCGGAGAAGCTGAGGGAAAGGAGAAAGGAATGAGGAAGAACGACGGACTGAAAGACGAGTAAGGAATTTTCTTTTCTCTTCCACGGCGACCGATTAGATTTCCGAAAATATCGAATCCTCTTCTCATCCAATCAGACATCCCACCTGTCCCCTCATTTGATGCTACTTCAGGCTGAGTTCATACTCGTGCTGTACAGCATGTACAGCAGCGGCAAAATCTAATCCAACACGGGCATGTTGCCTTGGACAGTATGAAGTTGCAGCATCCAGCATGCTGTACAGCACGAGTATGAACTCGGGCTCAGACAGCGTCAGAAGACGTCTGAAGGTATCAGGCGGTCTTCTCGTCTCGAGACTCTTCGACAGTAAGGGCATGAACCTTTCCCGCCTGCGGAGAATCCAAACCCAAGGAGTTAGATGAGATGACGATGAATAATGGATTAATGAATGCGTGGGACATAAGAGGGATGGAAAGATGTGGGCGGAGACTTGAGTGAAAAAAAAAGAAAAAAAAAAGGTGGTTGAAGGACGTGGGCTTGTTCACAAGTCTACCCGAATTCCTTGCTTCCTCCCCCTGCCTCCGACTTTTGCAAATAAGCAGGAGTGAAAGAGAAAGCGGCCTGAATGTTCCAGTCTCCACCTTTCGTTATCGCCGTGTACAACCCCCATGCCTTCTCTTCATGGGTGCTCCGTGCTCCAAAAGGTCCTTTCCCCTTCACTGTGCTACTACCTCGATCGAAAAGGAAATAGTTCTGTCACCTCCTCGGTCTCTTCCAAATACATTGATTAAAATTTTAGAGTACTTTTTCTCTCGCGAGTTTCCGATACGTATCTGATTACTCCTATCTGATTCGCCAGCAGGAGGCAATCGTTTATCGTTCTCCTCAATAAGTTCTATGAGGCATCAAATAAGGGAATGAAGAGCAGCTCCTTCAAATACTCATGATATACATCAGCCAAATGAGAAATATTAGCAGTTTACTTGGGAAAATAAAGAATACGTTCTTTGGGTAGAATACTTTTAGAACTAAAGAATAGGAATGAAAAATCTTCCCGATATTTGCTAAGAGAAGGTCGCGAAAACTCCCGTTTCATGCTGTCAACAATCGAAGGCAGCTGGGCAAGAGGATATGGCTAAAACAGACTTTTTTTCAACGATCCCCCCCTCCCTTCCATTAAACTTGGATTATTGATTTAACTTGCTGAAGAACATGCAGGAAATAAATATTCTAAGTTGCTCATTTTCTCGATTCTCGTGAAGTATTACGACGGAATGCAAATATTGAGCAAAATTTGTGAAAGGATTCGAAATAGCTGCCTGAGGTTGCGACCTTATCTTTTAAAAACCATGCCAAGGTTGGAACACTCTTAAAAGTTTATGTTCACGAAATATAGGGCATTTGCAGCATTTGCACCTTGTAGCATTTGCGAATACTTGAAAGAATTTGGGATGTGATCCTTGTTGCTGCAGCTCGGATGAGAGGGTGGAGGAAGGGGACAGAGGACCCAGGCCCACTCGGCCACGTCCGTATTGGATCGACCATCACGACGACGAAATGGAACCTTATGCGACGAATCGGAAGCAGATGTACGCTCGGACTGGGTTCAATCTCCAGATTCATCCCGACGGATCCGTTCGTGGGACCAGGGAACCCTATTCCCCTTTTGGTCTGTCTCACTTCATCCACTAATCGAAACAGATTATTTTCGAAGTTCCGACTCATATTTCATTTATTGGATATTCATCTTACTTTTTATGCTTTTATTGCAATCGAAGAGCATGGTGAAAAAAAATCAATTGATTTCAATTACAATGGTTTTATTTAAAAAATGAAAATTAACTCTGCCAAATGAAATGCCATAGAGTTTGCACAATGTGCACAGGATCCGGTTTCCCTACACTAAAAAGTAATGGTCCGGACTAGAACCTTTAGATGACTACGATTTCAAAGTACTCGAGTTAACATTTAAAATGTTTTTAAGCTCACTTCCAATACCATATATGTCGACCAATAAGGACCACTCAGTAGCCCTTGAAGAAGGGGCTCGATACGAGTCAATTTCTTGAGCTACTTAGAACCATTTCTATTATATTTGCCTAATAGTTGCACGTCGGAGCGATCGTGAGAATGTTCTAAATCATAGCATTGAAGTTCTGCCAGTCAAAACCCTGAGATCCTGGTAGCTCAAAGAATAAAACAGTTTCAGCTCGTGTTTTCTTGATTCCACGAAAATGTTTAAATGAAAGTTATACTGTAGAACCAAAAATGGTTCCAATCCGAACCTTTATTTTTTTTTTAGAGTGTAGTGGCTTTCCCAACATAAACCTGAATTGTAAAATGACAAGTAATGCATAGTATTTTGGAATCATTTGTTTAAGCAACCCTCGTCGATGGTCGACGTAAAGATTGAAAAAATTCCATCCTGCTCCGTTACTTCACACCATTCTTGAGACATTTAGGAGAAATCAGACATGGTGACTACATGGGCCGCTGTGTTCGTCCTCATGGAATATCGGCTTTGCATATGGATGGTTGGAACAGGGGCTTTCAATGTACTATTGCATTCTCTCCGAGAGTTGAGGCTGAAAATTCTTCCATATATACTTTATTGCATCAGAAGAGCTTTCTTATTTCGTGTGCATGGCCTCAATGCTGGAATTCCTTCGTTTTAATCTTGAGTTCATTCCATCATATTTACACAACTTAATTATTACATATATGATTATTCTTTTCATTTTCTATCATATTGGTTCATTTCCTTCCTCTTCATTCAAAATATTTTGCACAATTTCCCGTGATAACTTTTCTTTTTGGTTTCAAATTTTTTCACGAAAAAATGTAGAACCCTAATTGTTATTTCTTACCTTTTTCTTCACATTGTAGTAGATCATTGCAATAGGAAAAATACTGAAAATTCCATTGTAACCAGAAACTCTGATTACCCAGCTCACCCTTGCTTCGATCTTTTTTTTTAGCTGCGAAGAGAACAAGGGGAGGCCTTTCGAGTCACCTGGAAATAGATTATTTCGGGGCGCACAATATACAGACTGTTCAAAAAAATATCAAGGCAATTATCTGTTCTCACATCTTCTCGAACATCTTAATCCTCTTGTCTTTGATTGCAGCCGTTCTGGATTTCACGGCAGTGGCGGTGGGAGAAGTGCAAATGAAAGGAGCTGCTACCAACCTCTATGTGGCCATGAATCGAAGCGGACTTCTCTACGGCGAGGTGCCTCTCTAGAATGATTCATTCCCATTGGAGAGGAAACTCTCTTTCGTACCAAGGCGTTTCTCTGCTTTAATTTTGGACAGAGCGATCCGACGGAGGAGGGGACGATCTGGATCGAACGAGGTCACGGCCTTTACATGACCTACCTCTCCAAGAAATACGCTCATCGAGGCTGGTACATGGCTATCAAAAAGAGCGGGAAGGCGAAAAAGGGTTCGATGACTTGGTGGCGACAAAAGGCCATTCAGTTCCTTCACCGTCCTTCCAGGGAACATTGACTCGACTCCTTCAACCCATCTGCGCGTTTCTTTGACTCAGGGATTTTAGGAAGATGATTCTCCTGGACGGAAAGTAGCAGATAATCGAAGGAGTGAACTCGTTTTCGTTACGCCAGCACCTTACGCCGAATTTATTGTTTCTCTCACAATAAAAGTTCCATTCCCTAAGGAGCCTTCTCCAAGAGAAAAGATTTAGGTACCAGATACGCAACATTGCACAACTCCTTTAGCCTATATTAAGAAAGACAGTTGCCGACCCGATACATTTTCACAGAAAATCATTCGTCGACCCATTTTTATCAACTGCTTCTTTCTTCAATTCGTGATGAGGTACGTGCTTTTCGCGTTTCAACTCGTCATACTTCATTTGGTCGAATCAGAAGTCGCTTCCTGGGAACTGGGAGTGGTGTGTACGTCTGGCAAGTCTTCCTGCATGGTCTATGACGAAAAACTTTATGATTCGGCGAAGCTGGGGCCGGAGACTTGCCCCCTTCGACTGTTTCCACTCATCGATGCTCGGAACACCAGCAGTTGTTCATTTTGCCCCAACGGTGTGTGTTCCAACTTCTCCGGCAGGATCCTGTTGATGACGCTAAGCCAGACGAGAGACTGCTTGTATTGGCTCCTGGCCCAAAACATCCAAGAATTAGGCGGAGAGGGTCTGATCGTGGGTATGAGTGATCTCGTCATCCCCTTTGAGCATGACGGCAAGAAACATCCCAACGTTTCCATCCCCATCGTCTTCATGAACGATGAGGATTTTCGACTCATTGCAGATTCAAACTTCAGCCCGAATATTGCATTCGCCTTCCCACCGCCCAAACCCTTCGGTGGTGGAGTAGATTGGATCCCATTTGTGGCCATTTGGGCGATGGGAGTGTTCTCTCTCGCCGGAGGAGGGATTTGGCATGGAGTCACGAGACAAGAAGTGGAACAACGCACAGCTTCCAACAACCCAAACGATAGGACTCAACAGTACGGCACGGGATTGGTGCTCGATGGACAGGAGCAACGACGACAGGTACAAATCCGACAACGGGGAGGCTTTGGTTTCACTGTTTTATACCACCGGTTACGGGGCGGCGCGGTTCCCCCTTCGCCGGCGATGCCAGCAGAGTCCCCACTGGCGGTGCTTCCTGTATCAGGGTACACAGGGCCTCCGTCCGTCCTTATGGACCCCTCCGGTGTCAATCCCAATCCGGGCCTTCCATTCCATTCCTTCACCTTGTGCGATCCGCTCACTATGTGCTGCTCCCTCTGCTGCTTCTTCACTCTCATGCTCATCCTCATGACGGCCACCCTAGAAATAAACTACTACGTCCTGTTGGTGGTGTTTGTCCTGGTATCTGGGATCGGCCTCACGGCCATCATCCTCCGGCTTTGCAAGATCTGCGTGGAGCTCCCCAACGTCACCCAGGATCGCAGATTCATCTTCGTCTACTCGACCCTTATACTCTTGTGTCTTGTTGTGGGTGCCACGTGGGCCTCCTTCAGGAACCAGTCCTGGAGCTGGATCCTGAAGGACTGCCTTGCAGCTGCTTTTTGCATCTTCCTCATCAAGGCCTTCCGCTTCACCAACCTATGCTGCGTTATTAGCATTAACCTCACCTTCCTTGCTGTCGAAGTCCTACTCACATATATACCTAAACAGGATACAAGTAAATATCTGCCTATTCCCAAGAACTACGCAGGCTATAAGGACATCATGACGTTCAACTGCCCAAGACCTGGGATTCATTTCCCGCAGCCTTGCCGGGTCTTCCTCCGTGATCCCCAAGAAGCTACCCTACCCTTTACAAGTATTATTTTCCCCGGTCTCATCGCTGGATACTGTTATGCCTTCGACAAGATAATCCTCAGCAGGATCCTGGGACCGTACTTCACTCTAGAGATGATCTTATATGCGTTGGGATTGGCCCTAGCCATCATGATTGCTCCGCTCACCGGGAAATACCATTCTGAGCTCCTTTTCGTCGTTCCCATCATGCTGGCACCTCTTCTTGGAATTTCATATTTTAGGGGGGACCTCCATCCAATGTGGTCTGGATTTGGGATGTACGGTGCTCCCGGTGCATTTCCTCTGCAAGGTTTCACCAGCAACAGTAGCTATACACCATCGCTCGACCAGATCAGCCACAGTCAAACGCCCGCACGACAATCACCCTCGCCACAACAAATGAGTTCGTTGTTTTTTACATCAACTCTTCTCGGCGTTGGTCCTTCAAGGTCAAACCAAACACAAACATACCAGCCGAGTGAGCTGTCTGCGTCAGCAAGTGCGTCGTCGGATCTGTTGAGAAATTCTGTTGGTGAAACGGAACTGAAGAAACTGAATGGATCAGTTAGCACCTCAAGCAAGCGCTGAGTTCCTTCCAGACAAGTTGAACTCTCCATAAAAGTCTATAAAACGTGAAATCACAGATGTTTGCCGATAGTGGATATCACATTTCCAAAATGTAATACTGTTTGTTTCGTGCAGGCAACAAGCGAGTTCCTGAACAGCACAAACTTTCATTCACAGAAACATGTAAAAAAAATAGGCATGGATCACCCAATTGACAAGAAAAAACACTGATACATCCTTGTAAGCTCTTTCTGCCATGTGCCAAGAAATAAAAATAAAACAGGCAGAGCAACATTTTCCTCAATACGGTTGGGCGGAATGTACATGACACAGAAGTACCAGGAAGCACCTGCGCGCCAAGAGTAAACCACATCAAATCCAAAAGGAATTTTAAATCTTTTAATCTTTAAATTTAAAAATCTTTGAAATACCAGTACGTGTAAATATATCACCCGGGTGCAGCGACGTTTTTCATCATATAGGCGACTAGAGTAGCTCTGTTGGTGAAAAATCCATTAGTGCGACAAAATACAAACAGCTCAACCTTTTGCACACTGAAAATGTAAAATTTCATTACACATATCGAGCTTGAGAAGAAAAAATACATATATGTCTTGCTTGATTCTGACTTTCTGAACACTTCCTCAGTAGAATTTGGCCCAATTTACAGTGAGGACAGGTATTTAACAAGGAGCATTAAGAATATCACCCTTGTTTCTTGTATCATTTAAAGGAATTAGACATGAAAACCAAACCGTGAGGGAACTGGGAGGAGAATATGAAAGCCATCACAGTCACGTGAGGAGCCCTTGGGCTTCCTGGATGGAGAGCCGAGATCAGACTTTGCTTTCGGGTCCGTCCACACTGAGAAGGAAACTGTCCCTGAGTCTGGCCAACTGGAGTCCCACTGTATGGCCATAGCTCTTCTGATACCATTCCACACTTCGGCCTCTGAAAACCAACAAGGCAACAAATTGATGAAGGACAAAAGAGTCACAGGCATCACTACTCCTGCCCCCTGAATCCACCCATCCAATTTTAATTATAATTTTAATTTGCAAGGTAAACTCTAATAAAAATGAAAAATGAAATGAAATTTCTTAAGGGAATCGATAACTTGGAGTGTGGTAGATTCTTCCAATTCGATGGTGGCAACAGAACGAGAGGAAACCGTTTTAAGTTGTGCATACATTGCTTGCATAACCTTTTGCTATGGGGGCACGGCAGTTACGGTGTATAACAATTATTGGTGTTATACGTCTTTCGAAAGCTAATTTTGTTCGGATTTCAGATGAGTCATATGAAAATTAAATGCCCGTGGTCGTTGGCGATGATGCAGGACAATGTGTAAAAGACTGCACTCGATCAAACCCATCGAGAAGCAATGGATGCAGTCGCAACGTTAATCAATCGAAAATGGATTGCTCAAAAACTCATCGCAGTGAGATGGGGGTTACTGGCAACTGGCGAAAAAGGATACGAAACCTGTTTCACGAACTTTGGTGACCGCAGACCGGAAATTTTCAGATCGAAATTCTAACGCAGTTCTCCAAAACCTCCAGAATTTTCTGTATGAACTTGAAAATGAAAGAAAACTTTTTGAAAATTTACTGAAATCATACTCTCAACGTTTGAGGGCTGTACGCGAAGCCAATGAAGGTCGCACAAAATATTGGCGCATTACTTTATTCAGGTTGAATAGAGGTTTTAAATTGATATATTACTTACCAATGTTGCTTTTGTACTTAGGGATGTACCCCCTAGCAAAAGGTTATGCAAGACCCTGTGCACCAAGCGAGACTCGGGTTGTGGAATGACTTCTTTACCTGTAGGGTAGTGCATGGAATGCATTCAGTGAAAATGTAGGGCAGGGGTCTCAAACTCGTTTTGCTATACGGGTCGCATCGCCAAGATAGGACCTCTCTATGAATCAAAGTGTAAATACTAAGAGTGAAAATCTACCACAACTTATATTGTGTACATTGGACCAAAAAAATTTCTCTCTCGCGATGTACGCAGGTATTTGAGAACATTTGCGAGCCGCCTGCGGCCCGCGGGCCGCGAGTTTGAGACCCCTGATGTAGGGGCTTCCCCTACAGTTACTGAGGTTTGATGTCTTCGTGGACAAACAAAAAAAAGGAGCAATGTAGCTGTAAGCGAATACGCAGTAGGTGGATATGGTCCCACAAAAATGAATGGTCCCATGAACGCTCGACCTTAACATGGAACATCAAAATGGGCAGAAGCACCTCTCGACGTCCCTATCCGAACCTTGAACCCTTGAATCTCATTTTATTGCACCAACTTCGATCAACATAGGCAGTTTGCCAGATTCGACAGATATGGGACATGATCATTTAAGGAAATAGAAATATCAGCAAAATGGCATTCATAAGGATTCGACGCAGGGGATGCAGGATCCGTCCCAATAAGACAGTTATAATCCAATGAAATCTTTGATTCGAATTTACTAGGGTTGGGCTTGATGGGAAAAAATATTGGCAAGAAAAAAAGCCAGATTTTGTTAAGATGACAACGATGTCACAACCAAAAAATAAAGCACAAAAGAACATTGAGACTTTTCGAGGAAGGGAGTCATTAGTCAAAGAGTTTGGACGTCATACAAGAATTAAACAAACAAGGATACAATTCCCATTGGATGCAGATTTTTCTTGCGAGCTTTACTTGCAACACGTTTTCCCGAACTATTCCGTAAATACCGAGCAAGGAAATGAGGCGACCACGCTGACAGTTGCAGACATGTCCCTCATCGTTCGTGGGTATTTCTTTCTCTAAACTTCCCTTGATGTCTGTCCTCTATATATAATATATGGTTGTCAATATATTCGAGGCCTTTGTGTGACTATTTGGTCAAGTTCCATCTTGTTAAATCTGTCCGCCTGTGCTCCCGAACAACTACCACTTAGGTGAGAAACCAGTTGAAGATTTATTCCCTGTATTTGTATTGTTCCTCGCGAAAAGAACTCCCGAGCTCCCATTATCTACCATTGAGAGTATACGAGCTCCTGTAGAGCTCCTCGTAGAGCTCCTGTCATCTTTTATCAATCATCTGTCATCGAGAGAAGGAAGAGAAGGGGGAAATCAATTTCAGTCCTGTTTGACAGGAGGAGGGCATCAGATAAATTCAACTCGATTTATACTATGACGATCATCCTGGCTTGTCCAGAACACTAAGGACCGGAACTGCGACTGTCTATTCCCTTTTGTTGAAACTGTGTAGGAAGTACTGAATACATAAATAGCATGTTTTACACGTGACCGAAAACGCGTGAGTTGAAGAATCGGGGTGGAGGGATAAGTCCGCTTCCATTAAAAATGAAAATCAAAAAGTCCTTGGTCTTCCCGTCGCTCCAATGTAATCTACCCGTTGTCGGTCAGCTATCATCCTGCCGCGCGGATGTCGGAATTTTTGGTGTCTTCCTATCTCTTACTACTCCTTATCCCATGTCAATCCGACCTCCTTGTGCCTCCCTACTCTTCCTTTTCGCATGATGTCCTTTCCACGCTTATGAAGAATTACCTGTTAAGTGATGAAAGAACTGTTGGTTTTTCGTTAATGACAGATTCATAAGTTGCGAGAAACTGGTACATATGAGAGGAGAAGCGTGAGAGGAAGACTCTAACAGGCTGAAACTGAATAAAACTGCGTTCATTTGGAAGAAGTGATTGTTTCTCAAGATGATAATTCAGGAATGCAAAATTCACATCAGTAAATTGTCAGACTTAAGTGCGAGAGGACGAGTAAAAGATCTGCGCAGCGGATGCTGAAGTGCAGAAGAAAAACCCTTGAAAAGAATTTGTCATTCCTAGCCATTGGGCAGGTCTACCCGGCAACGTTCAAGTGTGAAAGCAAAAATGGAAATCTAGTTGATTTTGTAAAATCATTGGTCTGGTAAATTGGCAAGAGATAAATGCGCACGAATTTTAGGATGCTCAAAGATGATATTATACTGTATGTCCGAAAGAAACTTCGTCGTGCTAGCAGTTGTTTCAGAGACGCCTTACATTTTTTAAGAGCGGCGCGTTTTTCTTGCCTCACCTGGTATAAATTCTATCGAAAAGGTCGAACTCAAATTATAAAGAATTCTCTACAACTCTGTATCAATATTTCCATGAAACTTTCTGAGGACATTCCTGAACAGACTACTTAAAAATAAAAAAATAATAAAAAGATTTACATGTTCAGGAATCTATTTTTGCAAAAAATATTTCTGCAAGACATCTTGTAGCTTTATAGCAGTCTGCGTCAGTCGATCAAGACTTTGACAATGTGTTTAAAAGTGGTATGATGCTTTGATGGCTCACTTGATTTCAATCCGAGAGAGGTGTGAGACGCGAGTCTTGCCAGAGCCGCAAGGTTCGATGAGGAACCGAGACGCGAGGACCACGCCTCGCACCGAACCGTTCAGGCTCAGGGCATTGTAGTGTTCCACTGACGTCTCAACTATTGCGTAGCTGTTCTTCGGCCCTAACTCCTTCTTCCAATACCTTGAAAAAATACACCGCCCCTCATGTAACAGATACTAGTAGGGTAACAGGGGGGAAATAATGAAAATGCAAATAAAATGTGAAAAGAAATACTGAATGTAAATGAATACTCAACAAAGAAGAAATACAAGTTATTACGCTTTCCGAAGCGGAATTACCTGAGGACGAGGAAATCCCGTAGCGGATGAGGTTCCATGGATGCAGATACATAGTGAAAGACATCAGCGTTGTGAGCCAGTACGGCCACATTCTTCCATTTGAATATGTGTGGGTCCCACAACCCTCTGCCAAGATACAATCGAATAGTTTGAAAGCAATACCATTAGGACTCTGAAGCCCCATAGCTTTGTAAGTACAATTATATTCATTCATACTTTGAAGGTCGTGCTTTTGCATTGTTTTAACGCAGAGGAAGAGGATGAGACACTGCAATAGTACAACCTAGCACAAACATAGTGATATGATTGAAAATGCATGTTTTTAGTGCTTTAATAGTGCTCCATTTGTCGATCATATTGACTAATTCCTTAACACAAAATACACCATAATTTCAACAACAACAAAAAATTCTAAAAGCTATGATTGTGTACGTATGACATGACAGAAAAAATTCTCAAGAGAGTAACAAGTTTAATGGTTTTGGTAAGGAAAATGAAGATTTGTAGCTGGGTCTTTTATTAGAGAAGCACTCTAGTCTGGCCTGAGCAGGAGTGACGTGGATTACCGGTGCCGGAGTATTCTCTCCATGATGACTTCAGGAGGAGCAGTGATGTCAGTGGTGACTTTCCACAATCTCAGCGGATGGTCATCACCCACTTTCTTGTAAGACACTTCCACGCCGTTCACGCCAGTCGATACATTTACCCATCTCGCGTACTTGCTCATGGCGTACCTGGACCGAAAGGGACCAGTAGAATCAGTGAAGCAAATAGATGTAGACAGAGAGCTTCACAGCAATGCAGAACCTACCCGTCCTTGACCTCTTTGAGGAGCCCTGAAATGCAGGCATCCATGTAGGATTCCCAGTTCCCCTTCATGTCTTGACCCAATGACTGCAAATTTACTGGCTGGCTCAGGTCCATGTAACTAAATTCACACTGGGACAACAGTGATGGCGGAACTGCAAAACAGCAATGCATCACAAAAGACATAAAATTTACATTTAATCAGGGAGAAGCTGGATAGACTACTAACAACTTTTAAATGAAAATCTTACGATATACCGGGTGAGAAAAAAAAAACACGTCGCTCTTTGAAATGCTGTGGCACCTCTGAAGCAGCAGCTAGAACCATGAAATTATTAATACTTTCATACACACCTCTACGCATCCTTTGAGCATTCGAAAAATTTGGCTCGTTATCTTCAGCTTTTTTGGCACAAGAGTGATTTTACAAAAGCAACTGGAGTTTTATTTTTGCACTCGCACCTGGCTGCTGACGGGAGGACCTGTTCCACCCACGAGGAATGACATTTACAGGTATTCTCAGGATTTTTTTCTCTGCACTTGAAAACTCGCTAAGCAGATCTCTGACGCGTCCGTACGTCTGCCAATTTGCATATAATATTTTTGCATCCCAGGATTATCAACTTGAAAAACAATGACTTCTTCCACAGGAACGCAGTTTCCTTCAGTTCCGGCCAATTTTAGTCTTCCGCTGCTTCGCTTCCTCTCAGATAAACCGGTTCCTCGCAGGCTTGTGAATCAGTTTCTTAACAATAGGCCTACATTTCTTTCACCCTTTACCTTGCAGAATTTTGCGCGAATTTATTGCAAAATTCAACCCATCCCATCCTTTCGCAAAGAGCAACATTTTCATGGGGAGATGGAGGAGCTATGGCCCGAGATTTGTGCGCTCAGTGCCAACCAACTACTCTTCCGCTGATACGTTTCCTCGCGCAAAAATAAAATTCGAGTCGCCTTCGCGTATTTGCTCCTGTGCTAAAACGGCTGGAGAAAAGCGAACAAAGATTTTAGAACGTTTCAAGGATACGTAGAAGTCGTTACAAAAAAATTTGCCATGCTATCTTCTATCTCGTGAACTCCAATGAATCTAAAAGAGCGGCGCGGTTTTTTTGTCTCACCCGTTATAACAGCCCAACACATTGGGCAAACAACAAATAGCAACAATATGGCATTTATAATTCACGTAATCGTTAGTTGCGAAGTAACGATGTAATTTGTTTAATGCGTCAAGGAATTCGATTGAAAGGGGTTCCTGTGAAGTATTTCTTTTTCAGGAATCGATTTTCGCGCGTCTAGTCCAGTTTCCGTGGGCTGGGTGCGCAAAAGATGTGTTAGGCCAAGAATCACTATCATGAATAGATCCAAGATTTGTGAGTGAGATTGAGATCTCACGAGAAATAAGAGGATCAGACGAACAGAGTAGAATGCTACAACTGGTTTGGAATCCCCAAAGGACAGAAGTTTGAAAGAGGCTGAATAAGTCGAATCTTCATTAATGGCGGGTCTGCAGCTCCGATTAAGTGCTTCCTTCCCCTCTAAGTTCCCTACTTATCTCCTCACACTCATATGCGCAGCTCATAAAAAAAACTAATGGAGGTAACTCTCCCAGTTACCTACCCAGGTAACTCTCCCAGACTGTGTGTAGGGAGTGCGATTGTCGGTCGAGGACAAGGAAATAGGTAGATTACAATTTACTGCTTTTTTAGTAATTACTTTTTTAGTAATATTTTAGTAATTTAGTAATTTTTTTTTAAACTCAATTTATCGCTTGTCTTACAGACCGGCAAGATGCTAATGAGGGCCTGGCAGTTCAGAAACACTGAAATAGAGTGATAAGGCCCACAAGGAAGATTAGCTTCTCAAAAGTTGCTAGGCCTACTTACTATGGAAGTTCCTAGCATCTTCGAACGCAGTACGTTCTCAAGTTCAAGGCATTTTAATTTGGTCAAAAACTGATTCCCAGCTGCTCAGACGCCACAGATGTTGCCAATTTTGGGGGAGTTTTTATTGCAGTTGGTATCACTGTTCCCCAAGCTTGCAAAGTACTCAACACTTATACTGTACAGGTATATTTTTTCCGTGTCAAAAAATTCATGCCTGAAGAGGTTAACCGGTTTTTCACTTCCCTGATTCCGCTTCGCAGGATTCAAAAGAATGGTCATATTCACTTCCTAAAGAAACCTCAAAAGTCTTAGATTTGAATTTCTTCAACTAGTCCATAGTTTCCGTCAACAATTCCGTTTCCCGTACCGATTGAAAAACTTTCCTTTCGTATCATCAAGCACTCATAGTAGCTTTGATTCATACCAAGTGCCAGCATGTAACTTTCCATGACACTGTCAACAGCCAACCCTAATTTAAAAATTACATTTCACGATAACGCCCAGTGGAATGTATTTATGATCAGGCATGTTGCAGAACAAAATTGTAAATATATAAAGATATAATTACTGCATCCAGGTCCTTTACCAGAATGCCTGAAGTGACGTCACTGCCTCGATGCCTCAGAATCACTTTACCTAAAGGCCACCTCGTAAGAGATTTTGTTTCATTCCCTACGAAGAATCTATCAATGCACCCATTAAAATGCACGCATAATTGATAAAATAAAGCACTTGTTATTAATGTTATTAATGGCATTCCAAAGTGCTGGAGAATGATTTGCCTAAGCCTTCAGGGATGCGTTTTCAAAAATCACAATGGGAGGAAATATAAGAGGTGGACCTTTCCCCAAAATCCGTGTATATTACATAATGCATAGGGCTACACTAGACATCAGTGAGACAGCTTCAACATTTACCAGAGAAGATTTGATGGGATTCCTTGATGAGGAAGGCGAGACAGTGATGAGCTGCCTTCTGCTGGCAGAGATCCCGGTGATCAGGTATCCCGGGGATCACAGGTTGTTTGGTGGGCATCCGGCGGGGCGACGGACTCCCACCACGCTGACTAGTACCCAGGCGGAAGAGAGACGGGGCGAGGCAGACAGCCAGGTTTCCACTCGTCATCTGGTTGCTGGACGACATGTAAGCGACTTGATCCAGGAACGTTAACAAGGTGAACAGCGCCTCCCGATTCTCGTCCGGCATGAGGAGGAGGCAGCATCTCGTTGCATCTCCTCTCAAATCTTCAGGTACATCTAGAACCACAAAAGGATACTCCAGTCATTGCAAGCGAGCAGCAGAACAGAGCCTTTCTAAAGGACTTCCTCCATGGAGCAAGAATCAGAAATGTAAACAGTAGTTCAAGTTCAGAACGCATGAGATACAAGGCCCAAGTCAGAGAAAAATTCGATGTCCCCCGATGCTAAAAATGAAAGTTGAAAGACATACATCACAGTTCCTGTGAGTAAATGTGTGAAACTTGACACAACTTATCCGTATGATATCCTAAGCCTAGAACATGTCTATCTCATATTATAATATTTATTTTCGATGCTTCTGAACCTAGTTTCTTCAATAACAAAAAAAAGGCTCGGACTTTTTTTGGCCACTTTTGGAGCTTAAAAAATCCGGGTGTCAGGTATTCGGTACATAATTAACAAAATGAAAAGCACTCATTAGGATATTGGGTTAGTCCGGACTTCATCATGAAGAGCAAGCCCGTATGAGCGAACTTAGCGACGCTAGGGTGGCTGAGATTTCAATCAATGTCCCTAAATGTCGGGTAATGCAGCATCGCAGTTCTCAAGCGCAATTGCATGAGCACTGAATCGTATATACGAGGGTCAGCCAAATGAAAACGAGTAAATCGTGATATGAAATAATAATAAATATTTTCAAGACATGTTTACAGAGGTTGTGCGAATATCTATTTTAGCTGGCAACACTGCGATCAGAAATAACTGCGCAATCGCTTAAACAACATGGCGTTCACAGTGTCTGGTGAGTCCAAGAAAGCCCAGCGTACGGTAATTCATTCTCTGACTGCTGAAGGTGTGCCACCCATCAAAATCCATTCTCGAATGAGTGCTGTTTACGTCAACAACTTTTCATCACTGCCGTGAGTGCACGAGTGGTGCAAGAGTTTCCGAGATCAACGCGATTTCCAGCGACAACAGTCCCTGGTGTCTGGGATTGCTTTCATCTGTTACAGCGGTTGTCCTAAAAAATTTATAAGCAACAGTACACATTTCAGGCAGCGAGATATCGGCAGCGTTCGAGCACATCCACGGATTTCCTTGAGCGATAATATTGGCGAAATTAAAATCAGTACTTCTGCATTCATTCGTAAAAGATTTATTTTGTACTGCCCCTTATCTAGACAATAATTTCAAGAAGATTAATTCTAAAGATTAATTCGAATTCCCTTTTTTCCCACTTCAATTCGAAACTTTCGCTTGCCTCTGCTTGCACAAAAAATCAAGATATGATTCAATACTGGAAGTGACTCCATGCAGACCATTCGCTTGTTCAATTTGTTCAATGTTCAATTTAGAATGGACTGGAACCGGTTTTTTTTATCATCACGTTTCCTTTACTATTTAACACCCTCGCTACATCTTTCCTCTGAACTGTACCAAACATTCACAACATTTCGTCCCAACTCATGTTCTGCGTCTCAAAAGTCGCTTTTTTTAGTGATCAGAATTTGGGTAATGAAAATGACAGGGCAGCTTCAGTTTCTTCCAACCATACATTTCTAATAGCTAATCTTTTCTACTCAAAATTCATATTTATTACTTTTTCGCATACATAGGAATGAGGTTTGTACGTCAGGTTAAGAAAAAAAAAAAAAGGATTTCACTTGTGTCGAGCTTTAAGAGCACTAGTAAGCTAGTGGTAATGTGTCTGTAAACAGGGGGTTATTTGCCGGTAAATTATCAATTAATATGTTATCCCCCGGTAATTTTTCATCCCTAATTCTGACATTGTTGGCCGATTATTTATGGTTATGTGGCTCAGATGGGAGAATATCTACATATTCAGAAGAGAAAACATCCAATCATGGGAGAATATCTACATAGATTGATGGGATTGCGATATGACCACTCGAGCTCAAAAAATAACCACAACAAAATCCAATGGACTAATTATAGTAATTTTAAAAAAAAAATAATTTTAGTGGCTATCACCAAACTTCCATTAAAATTGTATACACTAGGGAAATACTCCCATTTAAATACTCCCAAGTTTACGACACAGTCTACACAAATGGCCCAGTTTTTTGCATCAGGATCTATTGGATCCAGAACGGTAGTTACAGGGTTAAGCAATTAACTGTACTGGTCAAAAAACGAATGTATGTTCTTGAAAATTGCAGGGTAGCACAATGGGGCTCTGATAATTTGATTATCATGGGTCGCACGTGTTCATAGAGTGCACCAAGGGTCGCATATTCACACCATGTCCACGCTAATGGCTCTCTAAAATTTCCCCGTTAGACTTTTCGGCGACATTTCCTGCGCATGGTCCTTGCCTTAAATTATGCAATGTTTGATATTTCTGCAAAGTTACTACTGTAGTTAGCATATTCTGGCGATAATGTTCCACTGATGTCATGGTTCTGGTTCCACCAGGGTTATCATGGTAACTCAGCTCTACAGGCTTATTGTCGTCTTCAATACCCTCTAGATCATGTTCTTCGACCAGTGGGGGCCCTGGAACCATGTGCCTCTTCCATGTTATTTAACCGCCCAAGGTCAACTCATGCTACAATGCAGGCTTCATTAACATACGCTCATTTATCTTACCAGCACAACCATTTAAGTTCCCTATCTAAATTGCCTAAGTAACTAAATGAACATCCAATACATTAAAGCACAATGTATTCATTCATTGACATTAAGAATGATATTTACGCGCCGAAGCTGACAGCAAGAGTGCGCAAAAAGCGCAAGAAAACTCACATTGAAAGATATCCAGGAATGTTTCTGAGAGTTTGTTGGTAAGTAGGGGTTCAGGAAGGTCCCGGAAATACTGTTTCACCAAATCAGCCACATCATAGGGCTGCTGACCATCAAAGTTGATGGCTTCACCCTCAGCCTCGCACAAAAGTTTGAGTTTCTCGATGCGGGAACGAACTCCTGGTTTGCGAAAAATTCCGACGGCATCCACAGAAGCCTTGCGCAAGAAGTCTAAAGCCCTCAGGATCGCAGGAGGAAGAGCATAACCCGTCTGCTGCATCACCACATGCAGTGGAACTCCGAAAACACTCTTGTCTGAAAATACGAAGACCAACATGATATTTCTGACGACTTGACTTTACTTTGAAGTTTCTAATTGATATAAACCTTTGTAGTCGGGTGGTCGGATCTTGCGGATGAGTTTGGGCCAGTCCCAAGAGAAGCCAGAGTTGTGGAAGGAGGAGGAATGTTTTTCCAGAATGGCAGTGAGTCTGAGGAGGGCAGCCTTCCTCAGCACAAGGAACTGTCCAACGGCTAAAGATTGGATACTCACGGTATCAGGCGGTAATGAGAACGGGGACGACAGAGATCCTCTCTGGAAGCTGTGCCATCTCACCACTGATGCCCTGTGACAACCATTCAGACATCATATTCCAACCATAACCATTCGGTAATTATATTCCAATTATACACTGTTAGTGTAGATCTGTGAGCTGTGCAGCTCACAGATCTGCTCAAACTAGATGGAATAATTTCCAAAATCCTTCCATTCACATTTACGAGCCAACGTACTCGCAAAGGAGCAATTTAGCGTGACAAATAACGAAAAGTTTGTCTTCAGCTATCCAGTAAAACAATAAATAATAGTCATGATTAGGATACCCATTGCGAATATCTTCACAGCTGGGGGATTGAGACAGAGGCATGCTGCCACACGAACTGTTCAATGTCGCCTCACTTGATCCAGACTGATCCTCTTGCGGTCCATTCATATCTGGATTAGCAACCCATTCATCACATTTATGAACTCAATAAAACAGGAGTCATTACTTAGTTTTCCCAAGGAAATGCTTCGATACCTTTAGCAGGCGAGGATCCTCTACTGAGGATGACTATTGGAATATTATCATAGATGCTTTGGCGATCCTCCTCAACTGGCGAAGCCATCGGGGTTCCATGTCCACTCCGGCTTCCTGTGCGATTCAACATCAGGCAATGGCGGGCTGGATCAACCTTACACTGGGTGAGAAAGCTTTGTTATGCAAATGAGTATGGAAATCCAACCTTTCATAAAGTTGAGGGCGAGTTTGTCTCGCAAAGCCTGAGAGTCCCGTCCAGAGTTGAAACTGGATGCTCGAATCACAGGTTTCACAGGCCCTTGGCTCTCCTGACATCCACGGACCAACTGAGGAGAGGACAAAAGCTGGGGACTGCTGGATTTTTTCGCGTACACCACTGGCTTTCGCGCCAAAACCGGACTAGAATCACGGGCCAATCGGAGGGCACCCTTCGCCTGAGAGCTCTCTCCTGATTGGTTAACACCATTCACCGGCCATGCCCCAAGTTCGCCTATCCCACTCCCCGATTGGTGGCTTGCCAACCAATCGGAGGGGCTTATGTCTACACAATTCAGTTGGCGCATGCGCTCTTCCATCACCTCGAAGTCGATCACCTTCGGACCACTGATCACGCGCATGTTTCGATACTCCTGCTTACGCTTCCTGGTGGTGAAGCTATCCATGCGACGAATGAGCGCACGGGCACTGTCTTTGAATCGTTCACTGCTGCTACGACGGAACGGCGGAGGCTGGAAATGATGCGTTGGCGATGGGGGTAAACCCTCGTGATTTCCACGGATACTTCGTGGGCTGCTGTCACTTGACACCATGCTCTCTAGACTCCCTGAAAGCAGCAACATCAACGCGGATTTGATCATTTAAAAAATTCTTATTTTTATATGGAAATGTAAAAATATATAAATATAGGTATTAAATTTAGATGCTGCATGCTGTTAACGGAAATGTCAGAGGGGAAAAGACAGTTTTGCTACCCAATAGAAAACCTTCACACGATTTTGTACAGACTGGACACAAAAGACTTGATGAATTACAAGATGTTTTACTTCGGATACGAAACAGCAGAATAATGGAACGTACACTTGGTATAGTCCAGTTATTGAAACTTTATTTTTTTTTAAGCTTATATCATCTGACTTTCTATATGATGTCCTTCCATTGTCAAAACATTTCTGTGTATGACTTCGAAAATTGTGGATAGTATGGATCGAGATTTCTTGAAAGGGCTAATAATTCTTTCTCCTAGGTGTTCAAAGTTCCACTATTTCACGCTGGACATAATGATCTCAAGTGATCTTCGACAAGAATGTCATGTTAGGAGGCCATCCATTCCTGTCCATTGTTCAAGAAAATGTGCATTTAACCCATTTAGTGCCACGCAGTTGATTCGTAGGCTGTAAATGACGATATATCGTTCCCCTAGCACTAAAAGGGTTAAAATATTATCCTAGGAAAGTGTGGGGGAGCTTCATCTTGTTGAATGTCTGTATTTTTAATTAGTTAATTTTCTTGGAGTAAGGGCATGAAATGACTTTTGCGCGTCAAGGTAACCTCGCCCTGTGATTATTGGCTTCTCAAAAAAGGGGCCAAGATGTGATTGTGATTCGTGGCAGCCAAAATGTTTACCTTTGGTGAATCGCGCTAGTCTTCCGGAAATTCATGTGGACATTCCTAAATCCGACTAAATCCGACAGTAATGAAAAATAAACTGTCCACTGATATAAAAATTTGCTTCACCTGAAAAAAATACATTCTGAAGAACTTGTTCGTGGGTATCAATCCTTTTTAACGGGTTCTCACTCGCGTCACAGGAAATATCGAAATCGTCATGCAATTCCAGGACCATCGGCAATTTTTACGCTTTCACACGCGAATTTTTCCGAAGACTCTCGCAACGGCTGATTTCGGCAAATTCGGTTTAGCAGAAGCACGACAAAGCAATTTTCTTAGACTAATGTCGAATCCGTTGCGTATTATATGGTACACGCACGATCAAATTGTTGAACTCAATGTACCACATGACAATATGCACATCTTCCTGTCGCCATTAATCAAATGACGCCAAGAGTAGTTATTTATTAAAGGATTCGGTCGATCCTGGGCAAATTCTGAAAGCACACAAAAACACTGTTTAAAAAAAACTTGGGAGACCGATGGTTATATAATTTCGTGTAAGTTTTATTATCCTGCATTCTTTGCTTTCCGAATTAATTTAAATTTTAAAAAAAACCGTCAAGTCTTTTGTGACGACCCTACATATGCACCAGGGAGTCTTTTCTTCTGATGTTATCTTTCAACTCTGCCACGATATCACAGGCTCTGAAGGACAAGCCTCGCGTGACCGGCAGGAACTAGTTCATAAAGTTAAAAATAGAGGGGTTAGGGGACCATTGACTATTGAGACTTGTTGACTCGGCCTGGGCCGGACGACAGGGCAAGGTCTTATGACGCCATGACGTCATATATCTTTTCAATGCGTCCAAGATTGCAGTAATCGCCTCTTTTCATCTCGGGCAGCAATCAAGAGCAGGATCGATCCCATCTGAAGTTCCACCCACAATTACGGAAAGAAGTTGTAGAGATAAGATGACGTCGTCAGCATTAATGAATGGAGATATCATTACCTCTTTCTGACATTCCCTCTCTCCTTTTCTCTCACCAGTTACGGCGTTCCCATTTATTCTGACTCGCATGAAATGTAAAAGGCAAGTTTCCTTCTTCATCTGGACAGAACAAAGCTACTTCACCAGTATTGAGTTCAAGCACGACACGATCAAGCTAAAATTCGTGATAAGCAGCAAGCAATTTGAATATTTGACGATGCTTATGACGGTTCTTGGAAGGGCTCAAGTCGTCACTGCAGTACGATTTGAGCTCAATCTGGGCTGTGCCATTCCTTTAATGAACCCCTCTGAAGAGTTTCTCTACATGCGTCGTTAGGGGGGAGGGAGGGAGGGAGAGGGAGAGGGAGGGAGAGAGAGAGAGAGAGAGAAATAATACAATTTTTCCCACCATTGGCATTTGGGAACGGTCGATAGCTGGCATGGAGTCTGCGGGTCGGTGTGGGGGATATGAGAGCAGCCAGAGAAGGACTAGGCGATGAAGGTGAACTCTCTTGCCTTCGACCCTGAATGACCTGGATGTGACCTTGACCTTGACTTTGACTCGGGCTAAGAGGGAGGGATAGCGGTGGGTCGTGGGTCCAACGGTGACTTTCCCGCTCGTACTTCCAGTTCCCGCTCAGAGCCCTACCACCATCCTCCTCATCACTCTCCTCCTGAATCACAATTCATACCCTTACACTAATCCATTATCGTCACATGTCAGAGAGGTAATAAAATTAATTTTATTATTAAATGCATTATTACACCCCAAGAATTTCTCTGCTCGTCTTCATTCTATCATGCTCAAGAACTTGTTACCATTTCATTCCCTTTCCATAAGTTTTCTTTTTTTTCCACTAAAAATATTTATTGCTTTTGACTATAAGGTATGCTTACGGTAAGCTTTCATTTCCCCACACTTACAATACATTTTCATACCGTGCTCCACGGTTCAATTTTCCCTTTCCCTTTCCATGTTTATTTTTACATACCGAGGTACAGTTCTTACCTGTGGTTTTGCGGAGTAATCAATCTTCATTTTGGCACAACGGTTGAGGACTTCAAGCCGTCGATACAATGCCTCCAAGGCATCGGAGTCCAGGAAAGGATGGTCCTTCTCCGCACTCTTGAGCTCTAATGGGAACTGCACCTCTGCACATATACATAAACACCATGTGCACATTATAAGCGTAATCTCTCGTTTTCGGAGAGGTTGAAGCCCCTTGCTGTACATAACTGAATGATTGTCATAGGATATTGCCATTGTGCGGCTGGTTGCCTGGTTACACCTGTCCACCACGCCCTAAGCACAATTTTTTCCCAACAAATGTAGATTTTCCTCCATACACGTAATTTAATGGAAGAGTCACGATCACAAAAATACCCGCGCACTGTCTGAAGTCGAATTTCCAGCACTGGACAGAGAGAGAGAGCGCGAGAGAGCAACAGGCTGAAAGTGCCCACTGGAAATGTATGGGGCACGAAGGGCAGAGTGAGAGGGAAGGAGAGAAGTGTCTGGTGCCCCCAACAATGGCAGAATGCCATGCTCAATGTTTATCCAGAGCCCTGTAAGTGCCACCAATACCAGCTCTGGGCTTGAATAAATACGAGACACCTCTCGGCCTTTTGTTCCCCCAAAGGATAAACAAGAGGAGGAATGGACCGGACCACTCACCTTCATACATTTGGGCGTATTGAGGGAATCCAGCAGCTCGAAGCCATCGGCATGCCTCAGCTGCTTCCACTTCTGAATTAAAAAATAAGAAAAGAGAGGGGTAAATTGACACTTGGGGAGGAGAGTGTGGGAGGTTGGGCAACATTTCTAAGCCATTGTGCATTGTTTTTCTTCCTAGTTTTCCTTGGCACGGCTCCCGATTCTTGATACAAACATCGGGTCGACACTGAACCCGAGGTAAGACCTATGTTAAAGTTCTACCGGAAATAAAAGGGGGGGGGGGAACTAAAAGGCATTTACTTCTTCACGTGAAACCCAGGTCAACGGTAACGTATGGGACTAGTGTGGGACTAGTGACGGATACAATAAAGTTGGAGAAGTTCATTAAGTCCAGTCGGTCCATTGAACGAGAAGGATGGGAGAGGATTTTATAGCGAGCAACCAATGGTGGCTCTCTCACTTCAAGAAACTTCATTTCTCGGTCAGTGGGAAGTTGGGCGTGAGAAGAGTGGTCATTCACGGGTGACCACGAAGGGTGAAGAGTAAAGAAAAAAGAAAGGGATGAGCTTAATCCTGGACTCACCATTGCTTTTCTCGTCCATACAGGAAGTCATTGGATACACGTTCACGAATGGAAAGAGAAAATGTGCCACGGCAACACTATTTCCACAGAACTGATAGGGGCAGTAAAGATAAGATAACCAGAGGAAAAACGAACTTCCCCGATACATACAGTTTCTCATATCCGGGCAAGAGTTGTCACCGGCATACATGCTCACTGCTCCGGAACGGGGAACTCGAAAATTACCCCAAAGATGAATTTCTGACGAGCTAATTATACATAAAGTGGGTCCCTCTAGAAAGATAGGCAATGGTTCTCTTCGTGAAGTGGGCTTGCAAGAGAAAAGTGAACCTCCTTGAGAACTTACATCATCAGGAAGGGGATTGGATGAGAACAATCAGCTCCATGAAACACCTGCTCAAAATTGTCCAGAAGGAAGCTGAGAAAAAACTGCTCGACAGCGGAATGCAACGGAAAGCCAAGGGCTAATAGTTTTTGAATTGCCTTGAACAGGCGAAAAAGGTGAAAAGACCTTGTCTAAACACCAATGGGAAGGACCTTTCAAAGAAGGAAGCGAAGAAAAAAGAAAAATCACACAGTTTATAATGAGATTCTTTTCATACACAAGTATCTGTGGCCTCAAAATAAACGAAGGTCCTCGCTTTTCCCTTCCTCTCTTCCCTCTATGCTCGACCCGTTCGGATTTCAAGTGCTTTGATTTTAAAAAGTTCCAAATTAAAACTCATCCATTCCCGGAATAACAACGACGGACAACGTCTCTTTTCTTTGGGACGCCACATATATGAAGGTGAGGATAGCTATTGGAAAGTAGAACTCATCGACCTCTCCATCCACTTCCCGTAATCAATTATGTCCATCTCCCAGGAGGGAGTTGATAATTTTTAAAGAACGCAACTGTGTTTCGTGTCGTAAGAAAAAAGGGCGCTTGAAAAAATATCGCACACGGGATAACAATAGACCTGAGTAAAGATATAGCATATGAAATTTAGGTAAGATGGGGAGATGATACCTTTAGTGGGTGTCACAGAGTTTCTAGTGCAGGAGGAACACAAACGTGATGAAGACTCGATTGAGAGTGAGGGAGAGCGAGACTGTATAGGCTTGAGAGCGTGCCGGGAAATCCGCTCTACTCATTTCGAAACAATACCCATCGCCAGGAAGCTCACGTTACACACTCGACACCCAAAGCCATGGTGAAGAGAAATAAAAAAGAAGTGGGCGGGATCATTCACCACACGTCGAGACATGCCCACAATCACGCTTCATGCGTGAGTCACAACCATTCGATGGTCACACTATAGAAGGATAGTATTAAAGACTATACGACTTTCATAGACCTCACATAATGATTATTTTTATTTTTATTTTTACGAATTTCAATCTCGTATCTTGATATTTCAGGAGAGGATGTCTTGCTGGGTTGCTAAGGTGCTGGGCTATGAATGGGTTATAGGAATGGGCTACCCATTCATAGCCCAGCACCTTAGCAACCCAGCAAGACATCCTCTCCTGAAATATCAAGATACGAGATTGAAATTCGTAAAAATAAAAATAAAAATAATCATTATGATGGGATGGATCTTACCTCCTTCCCCTATGCTTACAGGAACCAACCACGTACTGCTAAGCTCATGAGCGAGGATGAAGGAATGCCAACTGTTACGCCTATGATACTTAATTAGCGAATGGTACAGGAAGCCAGGCTACAGGGTGTATTGATCGTGTGAGATGATACGATTCCGTCTTAAATGTCAAACGTGAAAAACAGGAAGGAGAGAGCGAGCAAATAGAAGGGGGCAGCGAGTGAGATTGATCTGAGTCCCCATGCGGGACCTGCGAAGCAATCCGCCTCAATCACTCTTCTGAGAAGAGATGGAAAGTCTGAAAACTAATTCTGCCATATCCACCTGAAAAACATGGCACGTGGATAACAGAACAGGAATATGGTCGGAGGCGGGGGGGTGATATTGGAAGAATGGGAGATGAGCACGTGAGAAGGGGATGACTCAAGAAGAGGAAGGAAAGAAAGAGGGGAGAGAATTCGATATGAGATTGGAGATTGAAGGCATCACGCAAAACCTCCTTGTCTCAATATCATTTCCTCCTCTGTCTGGAGAGGGATCAATCATTAACGACGGGAATGAGAGAAAGAGAGGGAGAAGTCCGTGCACTCGGTAAAGCCACTCAAGTCACCGGTCACTCAAGGCAGTCTGGCTGGCAGAGCGAGAGATGAAAGGAGGAAAAAAAGGAACTGAGTCACTTTGAGATTCTCAGAATTAGCCGATGGGCGTAACTTCACAGAAAATGGGGGAGGATGTTTCAGTTGGGAAGGGAAAGTGCCGGCATGCAAACGAAACGCTCTATTGTTTATGAGAATGGCAATGCCTTCTCAGCTCCTTTTTCTTAGACATGCTTGGTCAATTTTTCAAGTGCCTTCGCATGACTCTCTCCCAATTGAATTGTGGCCTCTGCAGGATTGGCTTTCTGTCAGATATCTTTCTTCCTTTCCTTCTTACTTCACCTCGTCCCATATCAAGAGAAAGAGGGGAGGAGGCGGCAATCTCAAAGACCAAAGGTCCCAATATCCCAGAGCAAAGGTCGAAGGGGGAAATACTAGAAAATAGTGACAAGACCCCGCTTGGATGGAGACACACAGCCCCATTTAAAAGTATTTTCTTTCTTTAGACTTCATGTGGACATACATGAAGATTATGTCTCAAGAAATCGGATAGAGAAATTATTTGGCCGATTGTAATCCTGAAATAAGCAAGAAATGAATAGGCTTCATACGTTTATCAAAACGGCCATTTTTCACAGCAGACCCTCTTCTGTTTTTCCTAAGGAAAAGGGATCTTAATCCCTTATGGATTTTCGCGAAGAGGAGTCTTTGAGAGACAACGGGACATCATGGGGGTCCCGAGGCATCAAGAGAGAGACGAAGGTCGAAGGGTCCCAAGACCAAGGACTCTCACTGAGGCCTGATGAAGACTGCCTCTATGGACGTGGCATGCCATTCACGTATTATACACCACGCCTATCTGCGTAAGGGACGAACAAACAGAGAAAGCCGACCTGTTTATCTGTTTACGACTTCTCTTCCTAGAAGGCATTCCACAGGTGGGATATTGAATCAGTGGGAGAGAGATGGAGTGTTGATGAACGGGAGACTTCCCCCCTCCCCTGTTCCGGTTCCCGCCATTTCCTCCAATTAAAACGGAGGGACCGTAACGACAGGCCGTTCATTAACCATATATATAAATAATGACTGCACGGTATGTATGCAAAGACCAACCCAACTGTTCACCCAGCATAGGACAAGGGACTTGTTTCGGCAACTGGAAAAAAAGATAAGTCAATCCCTTTCTCACCGGGATCTCATTCAATTTCTCCTCTCATTCGTTCTTGGCATAGTTTCATGGCTGAGTTTCACGACGACAGACCCCCACCTTATGCGCATTTATGGGATACTGAAAGAAAGCACTCCGACCGATATTGGAGTCATTCACGAGTGATGACCCATGAAATATTTTACCTCGAGTGCCAAGAATACCCTCTCATGTAATAACGTACTCAGCATTACTTGTCATTCAGCAGTGACGGGGGAAAGGGGGGAGAGCAAAGGGAAGAATGATTGAGGGAAGATGAAGATCTTCTTGAAGAAGCCATGCAAACAATTACCTAATACTTCGCCAAGGTTATTTAAGAAGATATGAGTTAAATTAAATGCTATAGGTTATCTCCATAGGCAGGACACACACGAAACACTGTTTTCGAACAAAATTAAAACACATACACGCACATCTAGGTGTCGCAGCGCGAAAAACATTTAATGCAGAAAATTCAGGCCCTCATCAACACCTTGCACGTGCACTACTTGGTGTTTTTCAACGTGCAATTCATTCCGCGAGGTTAATATCACGTCTAAGTGGGACTCTAGATTGAATGTAAGACGGAGGAACTTTCGTGAGCAGTCTCACCTGCGAGCCGCTTTTCCCGGAGTTTGTTCCAAAAAAGCTCAGCTTTGCGCACTGACCAGCCCTCAACGGCAGCCAATCTTTCACTGAAACTCCGCACGAATTTATGATCCTTCACGCTCTCAACATTGGCCATCGTCCAGAAACGTGGAATATGACGGTGAAGGGAAGCCGGAACGACACACCACGCACTCCTCCATATCTGCACGCAGCACACTCAACAACAGCGGCGTGACGCCCACCACGCACCGTCCTCCTGCGTTCCTCTATCCACCAATCGTGACACCGGCCTTCAAGTATTCTTCAACTCTGTCTCTTTTCATCCCGTTTCCGTATGCCCCGCCATGCTCGCAATATCTCAACCCTTTATGAGACAAGTATTGCTTCTATCGAGAAGGCTAGTCCTATTGTGAGAAATACAGAGGACTAGGGGTAGGGGTAAAGCGTAGCCGGAGGCAAAAGTTTTTCATATCGTACTCTACGATTATCGTACGGAAATAACCTCTCCATGAAGCCACACCTGCCCTGACCGGAGGCATTGCGGAGAAAAAAAGTAGACAAAGATGATCATTAAAAAAATAATTTGCTCCGGGGTGAAGATGACGTTCGGAGTCATTATCCAAGCTGGAATCGCGCGGTTGTCGGAGTAACGTGTTATTAGATTTATCCATCATCCCCAAGCAGGTATTGAAAACACAGGTATACGTAGGCTCCATCGACGTCACCAGGTTGACAAGAATAACCCCCTGCAGTGGAAATGAGTCATTTCTCCTTGGCACGGATGTTTGATCCCACAGACACGAAAGGCGAAGGGAAACTGAGAAGGGAAGAGAAGGGGGAAAGAGAGAAAACCTGCTCACGGCGCATGACACGAAGCCATAGAGCTCGTGGAATTGAATCATACATGCTGCAGTCTATGATGACATGGGATGCATTGCCAACGATCTCCCGGTACGATTCTCTTTCTGAAAGAGTTCGATCAGGGGTGCTACCGATAGGTTTACTTACTCAATCTCTCCGCATTCTCTTTTCGCACTCTCGCTTTCTTCGTCTGGGGTGTAAAGGGTTTTCTACAAGAGAGCGAACGAGAGGGTATTGGAATTGACACCTGCAAAGGTCACGCATCGTTACGAGGGAATTCAGAGAATATGGTAAATCGATCGTTGATGATAAAAAATTCCAGCTCGTTTGGTAACGGAACAAGATCCGGTAATTCTCCTATTTTTAGACACTCGATGACAGCCGGAATCAGAACTTCGCCAAAAAAGCAGAGATTTTTTTTTTCTTTCCTGAGTGAATTTGCGAGGAGGGGGACTGCTGAGAAACGCATTTCGGCACAGCTTCGTTTATTTACGAGGGGAGGAGAGAGGGAGATAGAAGGCAAGCATACCAGGCCTTGTTTTCATCCCAGTGGCTAGTCGTAGGCACCAGAAATAGGTGCCCCCGGGGTGTACAGTGGGAACATGTGTTCTGCACATGGGCATCTTACTACCCCCTTTTCTCTTTGCCCTTTTCAGCAATTTATGCACTCCAACGGAGAAATAAAATTTGATTCAGGTGTTCAACCATAGAGAATGAGAACAGAGGAAAAGAAGAGACATTACGAAAGCCGACGAACGTCAGCCAGGAGATCGGATAGCCAAGAAAGAACATGAATCGCCGACGCGTAGGTCAATAAATAAAGCTCTTCGAGTAAAATTCGTCAAGATTGGTGCAATCTTATTAAAAATGAAAGTGGAAGAGGGAAACCTATTAGAAACTTCTGATTGCATGGAATTCAATTCCGGAACTAGGGAAGAGGTGAAGCCTCTGATATTGCGCCTTTCTTTCCGGCTTGCATATAAAGAAGATTTCATTATTCCCTATCATCTGGTGGGGAAGGAGAGCCATTAGTCATAGATCCCTTTAACGAGATTGAGCAGATCATTAATTTTGAGGCTTCTCATAATGCACAACAAGTGGATGCGGGGTTTCAGTTTCCCACTGAACAGTCGTAAGGATGAAAGTGAATGATCTGATTACAATCTGGTTCCTCGTAATAAAATCACGAACAACCTAATATATCATACTAATACAATTCACAGAATTGAGACTATTCAGAAATTTCCTTATAAGTTTAGACTCGAGCCATTGTGCGGATGTATGGGCATCGAGAACCTCGCGCACCTGGAAACAATCCAGCCTAAAACGAGTTACTGCTGCCAGTCATGAACTTTCGCTCTACGCCTCTCAGTTATTTTTTTTTCTGAATCTGGGAAATCAACATTGCTCATGTGATGCTTCCCCAGTCCGTCAAATATCTGTCCTATAAGAGTGAACTCATGGCAAAAGCAGGCGGAAGAGGAGTGCCGGTTTCCTCGTGTCAGATTCAAGTTTGTCTTGGCAACATTCTTCTCTCTAGGGTCTTCTCTTTCTTTTCAACGCCATGAATCACTCTAGTCCCGTAGAACACCTCGCACGACCAAAGCCAGTCGCGTATCCTTTTTTTTTAGTTTCCTTTTTGCATGAGGAGAAAATGGAGGTGTGGCACGAACCCTTTGAAAGGAAGAAAGGGTACAGACTGTATAAAGGCTTGGGGCGTGAGGAAGGATCGCGTCTTCCAGTCACGCACCTAATACAATTAACAAACGTGCAAGGTCGCACCAAAAAAAAACCTGAGAAACGTACTAACACTTCTGACCCTCGCCCATTCATTCCATTTCCAAGAGCTACTGACCCCTGAAAGGTGCAATCTGGAAATGCACTACAACGTGCTCCTTTGAGCAATAAAAAAAAAACTCGGGTTCCAAAGCCATCCTGCTCGAAACAAAGTATGAATCGTGCGACTATCGTTTCCTAAAAAGCAAGGTAGCATGACTTTGGGGTATAAGAATCCCGCTCCTGTCGCAGATCCACAACCACGTCCTTGCAGATTTCGAAGAACTGAATCGTTATGCACGAAACTTGATGACCTCAGAGGTTTTGGGTAAAAAATAAAATAGAATATACTAGTTCTGATATTCATACGAGCGCACCAACGCAAGTATTGGCGGTGGGAGGTTGTACGGCCTTGAAGGGCTATCTTTCAATATTGAGGGCACTACAGTGCCTTATAACTGTTATTGTTATAAGGGAAACAATAGCAGGCTTATGAAGAAGGATCACGGATGTTGGGAAATTCATCATGTACATCTGCAATACTTGAGGCAAAAATAATTCCATGTTGAGGGATAACATTCAGGCGTTTCTTACCTCCGAGCTTTTTTGCTCCCTTCCTTTTCTCTTATAAGCAAGATTAGGGGGAGAGAGAGTATTTTGAGAGTGAAATCGAAGCGAGATTGGAGGAGCCTGGAGGCTCCTTATTCACGGGTCGGATTCCTCCCAGGCAATTTCATTTCGTGGGAACATTCTCAGAGGATTGCATTGTATGCATGAGGTCTTAATTGGAACGAAACGAGGGGATGGAAATACATTCCCTCCTCCATAGTTTCCAGGCTTCAGAAACGATCTAACTTTCTTAGCATTTCAGTCCAACAACCAACAGTCTCTTTTTTTTTAAATATTCTTTGTGCAATGTTCTTTTTTCAAGTACGTACTTTCCAGATCTGGTTCCGGTGACCTTCAGCATTGCAAATGAAACGGGAAAACGTTTTGTCAGTTTGTTTGATGAGCTAACATGCCGGAGCCCAAGGACTTAATACCATCATTGAGTCAACAGGGGGAAGATAATGAAATGGTACAAGAACGAAAAGATCAGGCAGTGCATGAAAGAGCTATCCCGAAGGATATGAAAAGGAGTGTCCTTCCCGACGGGGGTTAGCCCTGGTCTGAATGCAAAATCAGTTTTCAACTGACTTTTTTTAAAAGCACTTTCTATCTCTTTCATGCTTGAAGGACGAGAACTAGAAGAACAAAAGGTTGGGATGGCCTTCAATGGACCTAGTATTGCCATTTTATTTTCCTTGAGAAATACTCTGCATGTACGATTGCCTCAGGGCCTCATTACATTTCCTATGAATCCAATATATTTCTCGAATCATCACCCGCGTGATAAATGGTCACCGAAGTTCACAAGATCGCAAAAAGTCAGTTTCATTACTTTGTCATTGTGCGCTTTGGAAGGGATACGTATTCAGGCCAAAATTCTTAGTGGAAAGAGTGAAGGCTCATGTCATGAAGGCGCAGGATTTTCCGAAATCCTGGCTTATCCTCGCACAAGGGTGTTGCGAGGGTGGAAGGAAGCATTATGAAACGAACAAAAGAGGCACACATCTGCCATCTGCCGCCATAGATAAAAATTGTTCGCATACCAATACGCAGGACAGATGTCGCACATTTCGAGACAACCTTCTCCATTTCTTTCCCCATCCACAGTGTTAGGAACAGGTCGGATTTATTTTTCTACTGGAGGCATGACTAATGGCATAGGAAGGCTTAGTAATAAAGTAGTGTGACCAACGGACATTTAAATTGAAGGATATCGGCATAGAAGGGATTTTCAATAGTAACTTTTTCGAGTTATTATCAAGTTGTCAAGTTGTGCTCCAGTGGTTCTACTTATCAAAAATTTCAATCTCGGTAAATCCATCTGCACCATGTGCTTGTACTGTTGTACGTAGAAAAAATGTCTCTGCGATTACGGTCAATAGAATATCGTTGGAAAATACTTTTCATCGTTGATACAGTAAGAAGATGACTCTGGTAGGAGTCTCAACAAAGTAAGAGATGGCTGAAAGTTGGATGGGCTCTTGCCACTCGCTGTGTTTCAAGCCCCGCTTCTACAGGTTGTTTGGAAAGTCACTTGTGACTTTTGAAGTTAAATAATCATAACGTATGATGTTGTATTTGAAAACTGCAATATTAAATAGAGGAAGGATAGGAACTATGCATTTTGATACAAATTTTTTCTTGCAGGTAACGTCCAGTGAAGTCAAAATGTTAACCTTAGAAGAGCAAGTCCAAACTGTGCTATGGATGGGAAAATTCAACTCTCCAAGAAAAACAGGAGAAAATTTGCGAGTGTTCAACAAAACCCCTCCTAGAGAATGATATTTCGTGATATTTTTAAAAAGTTCAAACAGACTGGCACCGTTCTTGATCGTAGTCGTGCAGGACAAGAAACAATCGACACAATCTTCTTCTGACTGACTTTTTAGAACTGCGCATGAAGGCGTTCTCAATTGCAACAAATCAGGAGAAAATGTTGAGTTAGTGAATGAACTCTTTTTTTAGAGGATGAATTAAGACGGAATGACCTTTAATTGTTTCCTTCCTATATCAGTGCGCCTTCCTATCGAAAGTTCTAAGCCCATCGGGTCCAGTCAGGTCAGCCATATCGTTCAAAAACATATTTTTGAAAATGGAGTTTGAGACTTACCGATGTAATGCCGGAGGAAGTTCCTCGTCTCGGCTCCAACTGCCACCTGCATAAGCGAGCATAGCTTTCCATTGGTACATGTTACGCACAAGAGTTTCACAAGAGGTCATTATAACGAAGGTGGAAACGCTGCATCATCGCCCTATTCTGACGAGAAAATTTCCTCACCGAAATTCTTATTTTAAGTTCTCCGAAGGCGTCGTGGGTGTGGAGGAGAAAGGAGGAGAAAAAACACACACCTTCTTCGTGATGCGTTCCAAGACAGGGGCAGAGGAAGACTTGCAGGGTAACTTGCGAACAGCTACGTGTGGCTTCGTCACCGGGTGGCTGTACTTCCGACTAGGTGGCAAGGGTGGTACCCGTTCCTCGATCGGTGTCTCCAGGGTGCTCGTGCTGCTGGAACTCAAATCACCCAATCGATTCAGGGTGAGCCGTTTCACCCGTAGTCTCGTCCCATGTAGGTGGCTTTCACTTTGAGTGAAGGATCGGTCGTTGTTGTGCAAAGGAGGTTTCTCCAACAGGTGAGTCTCGGAAGTGGTGGCCCTCATCACTGGAGTCGGTGAATCACCCCGAGGTGTCACAGGGCACGAGGGTGAAGGTGGGAGGGGAGGGGGGGGGAACGCCTGACCGAAACCCTTGGGTGGTGACCTTGCCCTCACTTCCACTCTCGCTCTGGCTCCGTCCGTAATCTTGGATGACCTCTGCCGCTTCGTCGATCGCTTTTGCCGCTTTCCACGGGACCTGCGGTTCTGCTGATCGTCGCTGCTCTCCATGGATGGAGTGCTGCTGTTGCTGTCACTTCGATGATGCCTTGGCGTCCTGGGTGATGTGGTACCAATACCCGACTCCTCTTCCATGCAGCAGGGTCCCAGGGAATCTAAGCAACGAGAGATGGACTCGCTGGAGGAGGACTTGCCCCTTCCTTCGTCTTCGTCTTCACTCGTGCTTACAGCCACTAAGGACGAGCTGTCCGACTCCGATCCCACCGTCGACGAATCCTGGTCTGATACCCGTTGGTATGTTCCAGGTAACCACTGAAAACTCGTACTCGGAGACACCAGGGGACTCGTTTGGGTGCCAGTGGTCATCGTTTTCTTTTCCTCTTGGAAATATTCTTCCGGGGGCTTGGGATGTATCTCAGGGCCCGACTCTTTCTGCAAAAGGTTTTTGATTGAGAAAAATGGTTAAGGTACACAGAACACGAGAGATAGTTATGTTTGCAATGTTAGCAGTGATCGATGGCAAACTGCTCCTATCTTATCTTCCACTATTCTCTAACACACATGCACAAACACATTCAATGCAGGTTCAAAACAGGGCCCGCAAAAACAAGTCCCCCTGCAGTCGGACAGAATAATAGAGGCTCATTAAGTCGGGAACGGAAGTTCCAATCAAATGGCGACACGCTTCCGGGCTGCTCTTCTACATGGCCCGCTCACAGCCAGAGAACCAAGCACATACTCGTACGTACTGAGAACAGGAAGCGGGGTGGGGCTCTGATGTATGCTTCTTACCAAGTGTGGGCGATAGCTAAGCACCATGGCTATGGCGAATTATCTACAGACTCTCAACCTCACCGGTCAATCATAATACCCCGCCGCAGGTACTTCTGCCCTGTTTTTTCTTCCCCTGATTTTTTTCCTTCCGCTTCCGATTGAGGGCAATCCGTGATTGCCAATCTCACTCGTTCAAGTACCAATGGAATATGGTTCATTCAATCAGCGGGTATCTCATTTGTCACTCGCTTAAAGGTGTGAGGCAGAAGGCTGCACGAGGTCAGTTTTCCTGCCCGGCGCAAAAGCAAAGAGCTGATGAAAACGTCAGTCTGAGGCGTTTTCGAGGAATGCAGATCGGTAAGTCTGTGGAGTCATGTTAAGGAGGCCTTGCGAAAATGATGGTTTTATATGTATGTTTTATATGCGGGTAAATACGAAATCTTCCGGGTTCTTTTTGTACCTCTCCGCCTTGTAATACAAATATCCAGGAATATTCCGTCAGTAGGATCTGACTACCCTCTGAAGGATGTAATGACAGACGCCAGACACATGACCTTTTGTCACTCAGCTTCTACTTTCAGGACCAACAATCTCCGGCATAGGATAAATAAACTCGCACTAGGAGATATCCGATTCCCAGTTGCGCCATGTGTTCCAAGTTGATTTGCTTTTACACAGAGCAGGCCTGAAACCCGGTTATCCATGATAATTCTGTGCTACGAGAGGGGCGTTTTATAGGTAACAGCAGGGGATGATTAAATCTGAGTCTCCTAATGGATCTGGCTCCATCGATAAATCCCATGCAGGGATTATCGCCCACACTCGTTCCGGGAGCCTTCCATTCCAGTCATACGCATAAGCCAGACATCTGAGTATCTGAGATGCCAGAACGATCTAGGTTCTTCATGGAAAACACATCTTTGGGCACCTTATTACCATATCTTCCGCCATAATCAAGCGCGCGAATTACGAGGGCGATCAATCCATTCAACTCTCCGTGTATCAGAGAAAGCTCACATTTCCAGTAAAAACCCCGTTATGAAGCAGGGGCTGGGTACCGTCAAATTACTTTCAAAAACTGGGTATTTCCTTAAACATGGGCATTCAGCAGGGGATAAAAGATCGCTTTGCTTTAAAGAGAATGTTAATGTTCGTTACGACAGGGTCGTATTTGCATAAGATCTCGCTATTTCATTCTCTGCAACGTTATTGGCAGGCCATCCCATGATTTCTGGTGTGCTTACTCAACGTAGCGACAACGCAAGTTCACTTTCCTTAAAGCCCTTTGGAATAATTTCAAGCTCACCCTGCTTACAGTATCTTAGGATCTCTGGAACCTTTTACGATCCTGTGATGTACCCTTTCCCTCTCCTCTATCCCACCTACTGAACCACCCAACAGTGACATGGCAGTTTTCCTTGCTCTGGACGCTATCCTCCAGACGACCGAACGCTCCGCAGCAAAAACTCTCATCTTAACCCATTGATTGCCATGTTTTAGAATGTCAACACTTACAGCTGACGTCTGCAATCGGTGATTACATGGGCATCGTGAAGCCCAGCATATCTGGTTTCTAAAGGCGTAGGAAGGGGGGGGGAGAGGGGGCACTTTGCCATCCCTGTCTCCCCCCCACCACCACAATTTTCTGGATGGCCTTGCCCCTCACTTTTTTCTGTTATGATGCATATCTGACCAGCGGATCGAGTTCTGGCACACGCATTTGCGGAACTCCACCCTCTCTTGCGGTATGTACGGGGGAGCCACTTTACGGAGCGTTCCTACGCCTATGCCGGTCATCAAATTTCCTATGCAGTAAAATCGAAGTGTTCTACACAGTGTTAGCCAAAATAATATCATCACTACGGTTTGAATGTAAAATTTTTGCTTTTCTTCAATTTAATCAAGAATACCATTATTTCCAACAAAGTATTATATAATATACTTGTTTACAGTTCAGTAAGAACATAAACTCAGTAAATCAAATGTCAATAATGGCAATTACACCTCAATAATGCGAATGGAGACCTTGGAGTTTCAAAACTTCTTGAATTCGCTGCGGCATAGATTCTATCACTCTTGAGCAAAATAATGAAGTCATTTCTTGAGTCCAGACTTCTTTCATGACCTGTTGAAGGTGCTGATTCAGATGCTGGATTGCGCAGTGCAACAGGTCATTAAAGAAGTGACTTTAATCATTTGGGACTCAATGCAGGACTGCATGAGTCCTATAGGATTCAATGAGTTACATACAGAGTTCCCAATAGGATTATACGAGTCCTAAAAGATTCTCTTCACTTTCTATTGGTATAGGACTTTTTCATAGGGGGCTCCTTCGAAGATTTCCGCCTCAGCAGCCAACATCTCTCGTTTCGAGATTAAATGACCAACAAAATTCATTGTTTGCCTTCACGAAGCCTTTTGATGGCCTGCCAGAACGCTGGAGTAGCAGCGCAGTTGGATTCCATTTATTTCGCGAATTTCTTTCAGGCCTACTGTTTCTCTTGTGCCACAGGTTGAACGGCAGCTCTACGCACATCTCTCTCGTACTCCCTTGTAAGGGTCTGACTCATAGGTAATACAGTACACGATTTGGACAAAAGTGAACGATCATCCATGCACCTCCGAAATTTCCCTTCGGAAGAGAACTGCTATGAAACAGTTCACGCCCTTTCCCAACCAGGGGCCTATTCCACAGAAGATTTACAAGCTACAAGTTACAAGTTACAAGCGGTGTGGCTGTATTTACAAGTATTTGTATTTTCTGTTCCACAGAGTTTGCGCTAGTACTTGTAAATCGTAAAGTACAAGGCACTGGAGCCAGCTCATATTACAAGTTCTAAGTGCATTCCAGAGTTCTCTATCGAGTAGCACTTGTGGAATGACACCAAAAGAGGTTTCATCAATGAAAGCGTACAGATATCTCATATAACGAGGAGCTGGATATGCAGAATCGAATATGCCATCTCTTGGCCTTAAGGTCAGAGTCTACGTATTCCAGATAGGGTGCATCGAATATGCCCAACAAAGTGGGGAAGCTGTTCNAATCGAATATGCCATCTCTTGGCTTTAAGGTCAGAGTCTACGTATTCCAGATAGGGTGCATCGAATATGCCCAACAAAGTGGGGAAGCTGTTCGAGTCCATTGGTTGTACACCAGACAGAGTCCACACTTACATTCAAGGTTAATTCTATCATAGAGGGCGCCAAGAAAAGTTGCTGTGATCATTCATGTAATCAGGTATTTCATTTCCTGCGGCGCTGGATTTTATTCTTTCAAGTTTTTTGTGACGTAATCACATAAGCCCAACTCTACTGTAGTGTACCACATTAGAACTATGCTTATATTTTCCTATGCAATGGTCACAACAGGAAAATCCATCATTTCCACTAGACACAGGTGTGCAGAAAATACATTTACCAAGCATAAAAGTCTTGTAGAAATTAGAGCTACAAGTACAAGTCTATAGACTTGTACTTGTAAAACGTCTGGCTCAGTGGAACAGAATCCATTTTCCCCAAACTCAATTCGCTTGTAAATGGATGAACTTGTACTTGTAAATCTTCCTTGTACAATTTTCTTTTGTGGAACAGAAACTTGATTATACAAGTAATAGACTTGTAACTTGTAGCTTGTAAATCTTCCCCAAACTCAATTCGCTTGTAAATGGATGAACTTGTACTTGTAAATCTTCCTTGTACAATTTTCTTTTGTGGAACAGAAACTTGATTCTACAAGTAATAGACTTGTAACTTGTAGCTTGTAAATCCGTGGAATAGTCCCCTGGAAATCCGACAATATCAAATAATTATCTTCGTGCAACTACTCCGTTTTTCCTCCTAGGAATGTAATGAGCGATTGCAAATGGGCAATGGCTTGCGTCATTCCATTTCTAGGAGTTGACGCCACATAAAATCGAAGGGCCAGCACAACATGCAAATCGAAAGGCTTTCATGATACTCACTTTACTTTCGAGTCATATTAATTAATTACTCAGGGGATGGGTACTTGAACAAATCACGATTCATTGCACACGAACAGGGATTGCTCTTATCTGTGGATGTAAAGTTAAGGGATCCCTTCCACGATCTTCGTTCCATTCGAGTTCAGCGCAAAGCAGGTCGACATCATACCCTGATCCCTTTCCAAATTGGTATCTCACGCGGAAGTTCTAATCGACATATTCTTCAAAGGGATTAAGCCCAGAACCTATGTTTATTCCTCCCATGCGACGACGAGAGCACATCGTCGTTATCGAGCAGATCCAATAACAGAATCCATCGTGCTTCACCAGTACACTGCAGCACTATAACTTACTCATCGAGATGGTACACGAACGCTGGCATAAATATCGTCAAAACATGCCCCATCCCTTGTCTGGAAACGATACCTTTCTCAGCTTCTGTTAGACATCGGTTAGACAATGGTTAATGGAAGATAGCGTTCATGCAATCCATGTTTGGCCTTAGACATCGGTTAACCGATGACTTTCGAAAAACACCGGGAAAACATCGTTCATGCAATCGGCCCATAGTCTCACAACGTCCCTCAAAGTTCGAGGTCTAACGATTTTCCGAGATTCACAAAGCACATG